ATCATAACTACCAAAAATGTATTCAATTTCAGGATTTTAACCCTTTAATTACCAGTTTTGTTTGCGAAACCATCGATTTGTATGAGAGGAAAAAACACAAAAATTCAATTATTTTCAATAAACTAAATGCAAAGAGAAAACTTTAGATTTGGATTATCACAGTCCCACTTTGCAAAAAAATCCCACTTAGCGCGTTAGAGACCAAAAATGGCCACCTATTAAACATTGCCTATTGCCTAAAATAAGGTGCATTTCCACCCATAGGGAATAAATATGTAGTGACGTCATCTGGTGGAATACACTATATAATGCAAATATAATGCTTTTGCTTCAAAATGAAAGGATGTTTGTGCAAAAATCATGTTTCATGTATTACTGACAGCCTCAGATTTAAACAACGTTTTAATGGGTTTCAATGGGCCATTTTTGGTCTTTATGGTGCTGAGTGTTACTATTTGATCTACACAGTGTGTGTTATACATATTTTGCAAAATGGGATCACATTTTTTACATGTACCAAAAAGTCACAATTTTGCCAAATTTCATACCATTTGCATTAAAACAGCCAAAATGGTCAAAGAAATTAAACTGCAAAAGACCAAAAATGTCCCTAATGCAGCATAAGGGTTAAAGACATGCATCTGAAACTGTTATTAACTGTCGTTTGGACCTCGGTTGGACCTGGTTCCCATGGAAGTCCATTATAAGGAGAAAAATCCTGGAATGTTTTCATTAAAAAACCTTAATTTCTTTTCGACTGAGGAAAGAAAGACATGGACAGCTTGGATGACATGGGGGTTGGCCATTGAGCAGCAATTGAGCAGCAGTTACCCCGCTAATGCAGCTCAGCTGGAGCAGATCAGCTGTCGAGATTGTATTATTAGCAAATGGCATAAGCAGCGTCTTGACTACCTGGCCTGCCAAAACTGACGCTCAATTAATGAGAAATTGAACAGGTGTTCCAAATAATCCTTTAGGTGAGTGTAGAAAGAGAGATATGACAGAGAAAATACAAAAGAGGAAAATGCCTGGGGAATATAATTTAAAAAAAATAAGGATTATGATCATTTTTCCCAAAGTCCCTTTCAAAGAAAGTCTGCGCTCGGCAGGCCATATTTGCAAACTCTCTGGGCAGCCAAGTCCTATGTTTTTGAATGGGGGAATCCTAAAATCTGAAAACAACTGATTTCCAAACTCATAATTATTGACGTTGATTATACCAAAATTTATTAAATTAATTATTTTCCTAAAAAATCTACATTACCCCAAGATGAAAAAGTGAAAGAAGTTTGTTTGAAATCTTTGCAAAGTTTTGTAAATAAATAAATAAAAATCACATGTATGTGTATTCACAGCCTTTGCTCAATACTTTGTTGAAGCACCTTTGGCACCAATTGCAGCCTCAATCTTTGAGTATGATGCTGCAAGCGTGGCACATCTATTTGCAGTGTTTCCCATTCTTCTTTGCAGAACCTCTCAAGCTCCATCAAGTTGGATGGGGAGTGTCAGTGCAGAGACATTTTCAGATCTCTCCAGAGATGTACAATCAGGTTCAAGTCTGGGCTCTGGCTGGGCCACTCAAGGACATTCACAGAGTTGTCCCGTAGCTACTTCTTTGTTATCTTGGCTGTGTGCTTAGGGTTGTTGTTCTGTCGGAAGTTGAAGTTATGTTGGAAGCTGTTGGAAGTTGAAGTTATATTGGAAGCTCTCTGAACAGCACCATAGCAACCGTTCTCCCGCATTGGTTAGGTGTTTGAAACGTCACAACACTACAAGGATTCTGGGTAATATCCCATAGCAAAGTGTGGTCTGATGGAGTTAGATTGTATTCAGTTGCCGGTTTGCGGTGGAAATACTCCATTGTTAACCCGTTTAATCCCAAATTTTTTCTTGCAACTTGAGTACATGCATTTTACTCCTTAGACCTCCCTAACACTCAAACAATATGCCTCTTTTGATTTTATGTTGAAATATTAGGTTTTATACTCGGTCACAATAGTGACCGGTGGGAAACTACATAGTCAGAATTCATTCAAATTCTTCAATTAGACCTATTGACACAATTCATTACAAGACATCCAATATCTCGTTTTGTCATTTCGTGAAGAAGGCTTAGTGAGATGAAAAGGTTGTCATGAACAAAGTTACACCCTGGAGGAACTTCCGCTTGTTCGGCTAGACCCCTATGGGCTAGACCATGTCTACACTTGGGCCCTGTCCTATGCCAGTTTCAGGTAGAGGTGTGTGCACTCTTTCAGTGCATTGAAGATGGGCCGAATGTTGGAGAAAGGGTTGTTTGTGGTCATGTGTGGGGCACACCATTTGGTTCTCATGAACATCTGCACAATCCTCCAGATAGTTCACCTCTGCATCGCCATTCAATAGTCTACCTGGCAAATGGGCCGTTTCACCCTGGGACTCCCTATCTGAGCCATCACTATCACAGTCACTTTCAATTTGGGGTGGGGGGAAGGGGGTCATGCACGTCGAGAAGGTCCAACACATTGAACGTTTCTGGGATACTGATAACTGCACTAAACAAAATTATAAATGCAACACTTTTGTTTTTGCCCCCATTTTTCATGAGCTGAACTCAAAGATCTAGACCATTTCTATGTACACAAAATGCCTATTTCTCTCAAATATTGTTCACAAATCTGTCTAAATCTGTGTTAGTGAGCACTTCTCCTTTGCCAAGATCCTCAATCCTCCTCACAGATGTGGCTTATTCAGTGTAGGATTGCCAATACACGCCAATATCTGCCAATACCTGTGTTTTCAATTGAAGCACTGCTATACTGTTATACTACCGGTCACAATTGTGACCGTAAACAAATTTACAAATCTTACGAGCAAAATATAAATGCAGGAGTATAACTCTCAAAATATATCAGTAGTAGACCCTTTAAAGAATATATGTACAAAATTTGATAGTTCTATCTGTAAATTAAGATGTTTTATATACTACTTATTTTACTAGTCTGAGGGAGTCTGATCTTCTTCTAGATGTGCAAGCAGGAAGTGAACTGATCTGGTCATGTGACCTTTCACACTAGTCACATGACATTAATTGATTTTAATCAAGACAATCTATTTTGTCATTTAAAAGTTGAATTTCTTGCCCAAAGTCAATAACAACATTTTTAGAGCTTCCAGAAATAAGAAAAAAACTGCGGTCACAATTGTGACCGGTGGGATTAAACGGGTTAAGTGCAAGGCAGGGCCCCAAAATTATCCTGCTTAGGGCCCCCAGATTTACAGAGCCGGCCCTGCCTAAGATAGGTTTTATTTTCCGAGACAGGCTTTTGTATTTTGCCTATTTACACTCATCAGGGAATTTGCGTTTTACTTTCACTTTCAAATTCGTGATTGTGATTCCTACTGCACTATGTACACAAACTCTGCAGCTTGTGCTGGATGAGCAGACCAGACGTTTAATAGAAGTTATCATTATCTAACTAAATTAAATTGTTTTTATTTCTGTAAAGAAAGCAAAACGACAGTGGGCACCATAATGTAATAGGCTTTATGCACAACTCACTTCCGCATTCTCTGTAAAACAGGTCGAATCGCTTCCGGTCCAGGTCTTTTGTATGTTTTTCATGAATTTTTTTGCGGTTTTACTCAAGATAACTTAAAAGGAGCGAGCAAAGATTAGCATGAACAATATCCCTCACATGTGCAGATTAATATTTAAACGTTTTATATTTTTTATTCTTCACAGTAACGTTTAGATATTTAAATGGAATAAAACGCCAATAACAAAGTGAACTAGTTAGGTTAGCTGATTACCTTAAATATCCATAGATATCGTAGTCAGTTCTTACGGCCGTTAACACTTTCTCTGACAAGCGGATGCGATGAGACCCGTTTTCCGGTTTGGTCACGTGACGCACGGCATAAAGCCTATTGTTGCTGTGGCATATTCTATGCTAATTTCACCCTCACACTCGATCATGTGATATCGCGAGACACCGTGACAATTTTTTTTTCTCATCACATCCATCATTTCTATAATTCAAATCATTTAAAATGATTGTTATGCTGCATAAATATGGTCACCCGGAACCGAGAACACATTCCATAACACCTCATGTATTAGTTACATCATTAGAAAAATACCATCTATGCTAAATTAGTCCCTCTGTTTATCGCGAGGTTAACCGTTGTCTGCCGGATCCAGATCAGATCAGGACCTGCGTCTAGACACGACCACAACGTGGCCCTGAAGAGTCAGCAGAGACTGTATCAACTAGACTATCCCCTCTGGATGCCTCCTCGGCCTCCCCCCTCCCCAAATATAACATGTTTTATCTGTTCAGATAAAAACATTGTCAGGGTGATTTCCATTCACATGGATCCACGTAAACCTGTAATTTTGCAATATCTCTTTGCAAAGAAAGACTACATGCACATACGCTAAACTCGTAGTATTTGGCGTCACCATTTTTGAGGATTCACATTTTTGAAGTTTGCATAGAGATGACAGTATCGTTTTCAACACCTATTTCAAAGTTTCCATTCTCAGGCAACAAACACCGATGTCATGGAAATTAATGGCCAGAGCAAGTTTTTGTTTAAGAGTGTTGTCGTATAAGCGGCCCCATAGTTAATAACTAATGATTTTTGCAACTGAAATGAATCTATCAAAAACTGGAATATGACTTTCTTCTAGAGCTGCTGTTCAACCAAAACAATCTTTGTTTCATTAATTTCCTATCATCACTGTAAAGCTGCTTTGAAACAATCTGTATTGTAAAAAGCGCTATATAAATTAAGGTGACTTGATTTGACTTGTCTATGTAAATATGCAATTTACAACAGCTGTGTGCTGCTGGAAAAGCTTGAAAATGCACCTTGAAAATGGTTGAAAATTGCTTTAATTTGACTTTGGAAAAAGTGTATGAACCCTTTGAAACTCACCTATGACTGAGATTTTTCAAATTGTTCCAATGAATTTGCATGCATTAAACAATAATCTGTTTTCTTTATGTGCACAGCGACCCCTGACCCAGGAGAAGATCCGAAAGTTTCCAGGGCAAAGTTTTTTATCCGAGATGAATTTTTGGTATGACGAATTATGTTTATGTTTTCTTATTGTCACTATCTATGATGTTAAAGAAGTAGTTCACTTTTAAAAAAAACTTTTCCTGATAATTTACACACCCATGTCATCTAAGATGTCCGTGTCTTTCTTTCTTCAGTCGAAAAGAAATGAGGGTTTTTGATGAAAACATTCCAGGATTTTCCTCCATATCATGCACTTTACTGGTAACCAAACGGTTCAAGGTCCAAATAACAGTGCATTCAGTGCAAACTGTTCAAAGGGCTTTAAACGATTCCAGACGATGAATAATAATAATAATAATAATTCATAATTTATAATATAATAATTTATATAGCGCTATTCTCTGCACTCAAAGCGCTTTACATAGAAAGGGGTATCACCTTAACCACCACCAGTGTGCAGCATGGATGATGCGACGGCTGCCATAGTGCGCCAGAACGCTCACCACACACCAGCTTACTGGTGGAGAGGAGACAGTGATGAAGCCAATTGGTAGATATGGGGATGAGTAGGAAGCCATGATGGACAGAGGCCACTGGGCAAATTTGGAAAAAAACACCCCTACTCTTTCAAAAGACATCCTGGGATTTTTAATGACCACAGAGAGTCAGGACCTCGGTTTAAAATCTCATCCGAAGGACTGTGCTCTTTGACAGTATAGTATCCCCATTACTATACTGGGGCATTAGGACCCACACAGACCACAGGGTGAGCACCCCCTGCTGGCTTCACTAACACCTCTTCCAGCAGCAACCTGGCTTTCTCAGAAGGTCTCCCATCCAGGTACTAACCAGGCTCAGCCCTGCTTAGCTTCAGTGGGCAACCAGTCTTGGGCTACAGGGTGATATGGCTGCTGGCAAAAACTGGGTCTTATCAAAACGAACTGGGTCTTATCAAACTTATAAGGGTCTTATCAAACGAAACGGTTGGTCATTTCAAATGTAAATAAAAAAGTTTAAGCTTTATAAGCACACATGTTCGCCTTGCTCTTTTCTATGATGAGTGTTCGTGACTCTCATCAAAACAAACAAATCTTTTTTCGAGTCATTTCTTTTGTTTTGTTCGTTGAATGAACCAAATGATTCGGAAAAAGATTTGTTCATTTTGATGAATGAGTTCGAACAGGAGGGTCACAAACGTGCATCACAGAACAGAGCAAGGCGAGCATTTGAGCTTATAAAACTTCAACTTTGTTATTTATTTATTAAATGAGCGATTGTTTCGCTTCATAAGACCCTTATTCATCATCTGGAATCGTTTAAAGCCCTTTAAACAGTTTGCAGTTTGTACTGGAAGTGTCTTTTGGACCTTGAACCGTTTGGTTCCCATTGAAGTGCATCATATGGAGAAAAATGCTGGAATGTTTTCATCAAAAACCTTAATTTCTTTTCGACTGAAGAAAGAATGACATGGACATCTTGGATGACATGGGGGTGAGTAAATTATCAGCAAAAGTTTTTTTTTTTTTTTTTTTTTTTCAAAAGTGAACTACTCCTTTAAATCACCATCAATGTTGGTATAATAGATATGTATGAGCATACAATAAAGTTAAAAAGTGTACTACAGCTCATACACATACATCAGTTGTTGCCTGACGTGTGTTTGCATGAACCCACAGAAAATCAGCACAGCGAGTGGCACAGACAAACACTACTGCTATCCTCACTTTACCTGTGCCGTGGACACGGAAAACATCCGTCGTGTATTCAATGACTGTCGTGACATTATTCAGAGGATGCATCTCCGCCAGTATGAACTCTTGTGATTGGCTGCCTGGATCGGTTTGTTCCTCCAATCAACACTTCGCCAGTCCCACATCACATGGGCTGAACTACTGAAGAGTGACAATGTTGTAATGTTCCTTTTTCTGCTTTTCACTTGTTTGCTTTCCTTTTTTATTTATTTTAGTCTATATATGAGATCTGAAGTGAGCGGGGTAGAATGATATGAATGTGTATGTGTATAAGATGAAATGAATACTATTTTGTGTTTGTGTCACTCACAGGTCATTCCTTTCTTTATATTTTGTTTTTCAGAATTGGCTGGCTTTAGATGAGGTTATATTAAATGTGATTAAACCAGCGGATGTAATGAAAACCTTTGGTAACCTGTGTCAGGGTGGTTTGACCTTTGACCTTTTCCCTCCACCTAATGAAGGAGATATTGGAGTACTTGACATAGGAGTGAGGGGGTACATGAAGGGTTTAATTTTGCAGGAGGCAAAATTCACAATGTAGCACCTTTATATTTATCCTTTTTTTTACCATTTTGTTTAGTCTAGTTTCATTTTTAATTGCCTTTTTGTTGTTGTTTTTTTTTTCTGCAAAGCGTGCAGAAAGGACTTCAGGGCTAGATAGGAGTTTGTAACCGATTACAGAGCACAGAGCGTAGTGTAGGAGCAGAGGCCTGTGGGATTTGCATTTTTTGCGGCAGCAAGCGTCCATCTTGGGAGATCTGTCACTGGACAATTGATGCCTCCTTTATTATGGGCAGCCCTCATTTTGGAGGTAGTCCTAAATAGAGATAAACAGAAAAACAATATATTTTCAGGGGGTTTGTTTTGTTAATCCTAAAAAATGTGCAAGGTCACTCAATCTTGTACAGGACTTCAAAATGTTATTTTGTATAACTTCAACAAGAAAGACAACTTTTGACTCTTTGTGCCTTTGAGTATGGCTGTACCTGTAAATGAGGATGAAGTATGTGTGATTGGACAGCGCTGTACAGCTTGATGTCAAATATTACATGCAGCACAGCGTGCTGATGGGAAATCTCTCTGTAGACTGAGTTTTTTTTCTGGTTTATAAAACTACTTAATGTCTTTTAATATAAAAGGAAGAAAAATTAGGCAAAAAATATTGTATACAATATGCAAAATTAACCACTTTGTTCAGAAACTGCAAATACAATATGTCTTAAAATTCTTTCTTTAAATTTCTGTTTTCGTCAAACGGACTCAGCTTTAAAACATTGGAAATCTTTTCAAAATTTCCAAAATTTTGTCCCGTTTCAGGAAGGGCACATTTTTAGAAGCCGCGTATTGCAGACTGTACGCAGGATCGTGCCGGTTAAAGCGTGTAGAAATGTGTGATTGCATGCGTGTGCATACACATCACATTGTACTGTACATCTGCACCCTGTGTACATATACATTTATAAAAACGTAAAAACATATATTCTATAAATATATATGTACAATTATTCATAATAATATGTGTGCCTATATGTATACATATTTATGAATGTTTAGCGAGGTTGTATGCATAGCTATGCATATACAAAAATAATATAGAACGAATGAGGAAGTAAGACTAGCGATTCCTTACTGGCCGTCCTGAGCGCATACTGACTGCGCTGGCATTGTGAATGTGAGCACTGATAGTGTAAACCTCGCAGCTCGAGTGGGCCCATACAGTCTCTCTCACTGACCAGTGGGACAGTTATCATAAGTCAAAGTAAGGTTCAATTCTCAACTGGTGAAGTGCAGGGACAGTGTGTGGTATAACTTTAGGCTGTGAATGGCTGTAACACTGGTAGATAGGCTTTATTCTCTTTACTCTGCAGCTTTTACATGTTCAAATTTATTTCAGAAATTTAAATGAGTGACAATAAAGAAAAATTCTAAATAATAATAAAAACAATTCTTTTTCATTTCTTAATGATTATTTTAATAACGAGGCACATTAGAAGACCTTGGTCTTTGTTTAAAATGGAGATGTGGAAAGAAATGTAATTTTGCAAATAAAATACCTCTAAAAGAAATCCGAGTTTGCCTTTGAATTGAGTAATGTGTGATAATCGCCACTTGAAAAGTTGGATGCAGCAAAAAAAAAAAAAAAATTACTAAACAAATTCTAAAATTTGTATTTTCTTTTCCATCATCTAATACTGAAGCCATCGTTTCAAAGCTCTTCATACAGTCTTCATTTAATATTACTTCCAAAACTTGTTCAAACCACCACAGCTTGTTCGACAAATAACATTAAAAAACAGCACAGAGCAACAGAGCATTACATTGACTTTTAAAGTTTATTGAATGATTTTTTCACATAAATGGAACTGGAACTTGAATTTGTTTTTGCATATAGTACAAACAACAAAAATTCTGAAACCAGGGCTGAAAATATTTATTTTTTTAAAATTTATAGTATAACAATTCAGGGTTCTGAGGGCTAATTCACAAAAGCAGAATTTAGAAATCCAGGATAAGAGATAAAGCTGGGCTTGACCTAGTGTGATCAGTGCATCCTGGCTTTATGAGTTTCACAAAGGCCAAACCAGGCTCAGGGGGAGCGGCTATGTCAAGCCAGGTGTAAGTAATTCAGATAAGTGGGAGTCAACAGCTTTCTTCAACAGACCACACAGTCCATCACAGATTCACTGATGCTACAATGGATAAGTTGCGTGCACCATACTTCAAGTGTTGGGTGTAACTAATTACTAAGTAATTAGTTACTGTAATTTCATTACTTTTCCTTGAAAATGTAAAGTAAGGGATTACTCTTAATTTATCTGTAATTTATTTACAGTTACTTCTGATGTAATTGAGGTAAAAACTGTGTATAGATCAATCCGACCTCACAGCGATTCGTATGCATTTTATGAGGTGTCTAAATATTACGACCGCACTCGTACAAATTCGTATGAATTATTGTAAAATATGTATGAAAAAAGTGTGAAATGTCATGAGATCAGACATAAAACAGTAGTGGGTTTAACATCAAAATGTAGCCTATTGTCTGATGCTAAAAAGTATGTTTTTATAGCTAATGTAACCTTCTCCACCTTGGTCAGTTTAAGGATAATTCATGCAATTTTATAGTATTTATTTGAAAGAATTAAAACAGATTCATGCCTCTCCTTGTATTTATTTGAAAGAATTAAAACAGATTCATGCCTCTCCTTGTATTATTCAGCTGGTTGATATGGGATTTTGAAAGTAATTAGTAATTAAAAGTAATTAAATACTTTTTAGAGAGAGTAATTAGTACAGTAATCTAATTACACTGTTGAAGAGGTAATTAGTAACTAGTAATTAATTACTTTTTTAGAGTAACTTACCCAACACTGCTGACAGCTGATTAATTTATGTTACACAGCTTATTAATGTTCCTCTTTTTTGTTACACATCCCCAGAAAAGCAGTAGGGTAGAGTGGGAGAAAACGCCCCCCAAGGGGCATAGTTTCTCTTTATCATAATTACTACAGTAACATATTTCTGTTCATCAAAGTCTTTATTTTACACTTTAATGCAGTATAACTAGGCCGTAAAATCAAAATATTTGAACAAAACATGAAACAATTACTTCAAGTGAGCATTAGCTAGCTTGGTGAATGCAATGATGGAAGGTGGTTAGGTGACCCAATGATAAAACACAGTGACTTTTAATGCATTTATGTAATATATTTCACTATTAATATACTAATTTATGTTTAATATTTATTTAGGGTGTTCTGTTTATCTTGATGATATGATGAACAAATACTACATCAATTATAGACCTCGTGTAGAAATCAAAATATTTAAATGTTATAAATTTGGCTATTTCCTACATTCCTGAAATAAATATTAATAGGTATATATATTATGTTGTTGCATTACTTGTCTTTTACTTTTAGAGATTAAAAACTATGTTCATTTTGCTGTTGATCTATGAAGGAAACTGGTTGGTAAGAAAGGGGGCATTTTACCCACCTTGGGGGGTGTTTTACCCCACCGCTGGGGCAAAACGCCCCCTCTGTACAAAAATATTTTCAGTCAAAAAACAAATTAATTATGAAGGTTGAGTAATTTTAATATTTGGTAAATAACTCCTGCCAAAGACACTCAAAACTGGGATGGCAATTCTAGTCACATTTATGTTTTGTTTTACAGTAATGTCACATTTTCCTGAAGGGGGGCATTTTTCTCCACTTCTACCCTAACGCTCTTGCAGGTAATTGTCGGGAAAAGTCAATGTGTCGGACCTGTCCCGAAACACTCTTTCACGTCTGAAAGGCCTTCTCAATATAAGTGCTTCATCAGATGTCATCCAAAAATGGGCATGCCATTGTAAAGGACGAAACATGTGTTTAGAGCTACTTATATTGCCTGACTTGATTGACAAAACTTTTGCTTCTTTATCAGCCATTTCTCTAATTCCCTCATCACATACAATAGACTATTAAAGACCAATCTGTCAAACTTAGAACAACAGCAGTCTTCAAAAACACATTGGACAGTAACAATGCCCACATGGATAATTATTATTATAGTTAATAATGGTGGGCTACCATCATAATGTTACAATAATAATAGTAGGCTACTTGACTGCATGCCAATATGTATCTGATGTACAGTGCCCTCCACAATTATTGGCACCCCTGTTTAAGATGTGGTCGAGGACTTTTAAAAAATTCTCCCTTTTTTTTAAACAACATAGAATCCAAATGCAAAAAAAGAGAAAAATCCAACCTTTTATTTAAGTACATTACTTTGGTGGTAAAAAAAAATTAAAAATTTAAAAAAATAAAAACTTCAAATCATGTGTCCCACAATTATTGGCACCCCTGATGTTAATACTTTGTACAACCCCCTTTTGCCAACAAGACAGCACTTAATCTCCTCCTATAACATTTCACAAGATTGAAGAACACAGAGAGAGGGATCTTTGACCATTCTTCTTTGCAAAATCTTTCTAGATCATCCAGTATCCTGGGCCCTCTCTTGTGCACTCTCCTCTTTAGCTCACCCCACAGGTTTTCGATTGGATTGAGGTCTGGGGACTGAGATGGCCATGGGAGGACCTTGAGTTTGTGACTGAACCATTTTTGTGTAGATTTTGCCACACGTTTTGGATCATTATCCTGCTGAAAGACCCAATGACGACCCATCTTCAGCTTTCTGGCAGAGGCCATCAGGTTTTTATTTAAAATGTCCTGGTAGTTCAAAGCGTTTATAATGCCATGCACCCTAACAAGGTTCCCAGGGCCTTTGGAAGAGAAACAGGCCCACAGCATCACAGATCCTCCACCATACTTCACGGTGGGCATGAGGTACTTTTCGGCATACACATCTTTTGTTTTACACCAGATCCACTTAGAGTGTTTGTTGCCAAAAAGCTCAATCTTAGTCTCATCCGACCAAAGCACACGATCCCAGATGAAGTCCCAGTGCCGCTTGGCAAACTCCAGACGTTTACGTTTGTCAGTGTTAGTGAGAAAAGGCTTTTTCCTAGCATGCCTCCCAAACATCTTGTTGGCATGTAGAGAGCGTCTGATGGTTGTTTTGGAGATTTTGTGACCCCAAGATGCCACTATTTGATGCAATTCTGTGACAGTGAGCTTAGGACTTTTTTTTACTTTTCTTAGCATCCTCCTCACAGTGCGTTGTGGCAAGATAAACTTGGGACCTCTTTCAGCCTTGTTTGTCACTGTTCCTGTTGTTTTAAACTTCTTAATGATTCCTCTAACTTTAGATATGGGCAATATAAGGTGAGTGGCTATTTTCTTGTAGCCATTGCCTGACTTATAAAGGTCATCACACATCTGCCTTACTTGAATGGTGTGTTCTCTTGTCTTTGCCATGTTGACAAATGGGTAAGAGAATTAGGCCTCTGTGTCATGTCATATTTATACCCCAGGGAAATAGGAAGTCATGAATTACTAATTAAAAGTTCCTAGATATCCTGACCAACATTAGCAACTACAGAAAATATTTTTTTTCTTAAAAATCAATTACATTTTTCAGCGGAATTGTTAGGGGTGCCAATAATTGTGGGACACAGGATTTGAAGTTTTTATTTTTCTAAATTTTTACATTTTTTTTTACCACCAAAGTAATGTACTTAAATAAAAGGTTGGATTTTTCTCTTTTTTTGCATTTGGGTTCTATGTTGTTTAAAAAAAAGGGAGAATTTTTAAAAGTCCTCAACCACATCTTAAACAGGGGTGCCAATAATTGTGGAGGGCACTGTATTTAATGCAGGCTGATAAAAATTGCCCTGAACACATAGATGACAAAACGGAATAACTGACAAAACACATTGGTTTCTGATCGGCATGACCGCTGACTGAACAGATAAGGCACCAGGATTGACTAAGCCTGGCTGTTAGCCTGGTCTGGAGCACGTCTGTAGCTCCGGGCTAAGCATCCGCAGAAATTGTTCAAGGACAATTATCTCTCCGATCTCCTGGTTCGTTCTCGCTCTCGGTCTCACCCACTTCTGATACAAGTCTTTCAGATGAACATAGGGGTCTTTAGGGGTTTAGGGGTCACAGCTCTTTAGGGGTCTCCTCTTCCAGCACCTCCATAGCACGAAATCTCTGTCGATACGTTTCATGATTGATGGAATACTTCTTCAAAATAGCCTCCTTTACCTGCACATAGTCACTTGCGTCTGCAACATCCATGGCCACATATGCACTGCGCGCCTTGCCCGTCAGCAATGGAATGAGTCTAATGGCCCAATTTTCCATTGGCCATCTGTACACCTCAGCAATCCGTTCAAACGTGGTTAAATAATGCTCGATGTCATCCGCTTCACTCAATTGTTGCATCTTTGGTTCTTTTAGCACATAACCATGGCTCATGTTGTGAGAGCCTGAAGCTCTGGGCGATTCCCCTGCTTCAGCGACTCTCCTGTCTCGCACATCCTCCAACGGAGTTTGCTGGCTGAGCTCATCCTGTAGTAGATGGAACTAATGCTGGAGTGATTTCCATCTCGTCTCTTGTCGAGCTGCTTCTTGTATCTGATGGCCATCTCTCTCTTGCTGATCCTGCATGAACCATTGAAACATCCGCTTCAGCTCCAGTACATCCCCTTCCGACTCCTCTTCAGCCCCATCTGTCGCATCCTCCATCAGCCTCTCACCCTCCTCTGGTGCGCTCTCGACGTCAGTAGGAACAACAGCACGTACTCTCTTAGGCGCCATCCTTTCCGCACTTGACTCTCTACAGACAGTCTCCTCCTGGACAGAAAACCACCACTGCCACCATCTTGTCAGGTTCTTTCCATTAAATTTTCAGGAGACATTCATGGAGTCATCAAAGTGTCATTTTATTGATGGTAACAATTGAGTGCTGACCAGACATTGTACAAAAATAAAGGGAAAAAAAACCAAGACAAACAAACAAACTAATAAATGAGGCAACAACAGCACATTACTGAGTTCTGGGTCTAAGATGTTTCATCAGCGATCCCACACCAGAACTTACCCAGCCACAGACATTGAAGCTCTTTTAACAACCCAGACCAAACCATTTGGATAATTACAGGGGTAATCACAAGACTTCTCATTCTATTACATCAAAAATAAAAGGGGAAAATATATACAGCAATACAAAGACACAAATGAACATAAGAATAACATTTACCATAAAGCAATAAAGAAAATACACTTACACATTCATACATAAAACACCTCCTTTAAACACATGTGAATTAACACACAACCCCAACCCATATTGTCCAGAAAACTACATTTCCCATGATTCCCCCATGAGATATATAAAGGACACCAGGAAACCGTTCCATGCTGCACTCATGGATCCCGGCGAAACCAAGGGTAAGATAAACATGTAACAAACTTAAATAAAACTCTAAACCCATATTTTGGTTGTGGTTTTATTTACTCTAGCGTGCACTCTAGAAATAAATGGTAGTAAATTTTGTTACTCCTTGATGTTTAAACCACTGCAGACACAATGTAACTTCTCCAATTCCAGGGTCTGGGTAAATTATATTTAAGCAGACAAATTACTTACAAAGAAATTCATAAATAGACCAAAACAGAGAACATTAATTCCTTAAATCAAATAAAAATATACATTTTTACATAAAAAAATAAAATAAAAATAAACTAGAACCAATGCAAATGTTCATTCAGGTGTGGCCTTAGCCATCACACCGTCTTATTGTAAATGTTATGCTATACATTTCAATATAATTACTGTAGAAATGCACAAATGTTATTTTTTTATACAGAATACTTTAATGTGTTTTTAATAGTTTGGAAAGCAGTCAAATATCAGTTAAAGCTACTTTACATTTGCAGCATTTGGTGCAAATGTAAAGTATTTTACAGGTGGTAGAGTATGAATGACAAAAGTGTTCATGGATTTTTGGAGATGTGGTCATTGAATGCATTTTTTTGTGTGAATATGAAATATTTACCACAGTGTTGTCCACATAGACTTCTGCTTAGTTGACTATGGTTTGGTCCAAACTGAAGTCATACTGTCAAAACTCTTCAAAGTAGAAACAACAACAACAAAAAAATACTTCACAGTTTGTGCATCAAAAAAAATATTTTACATTTTAAATTAGAAAGAAACGACACTTTGCACATGCAAACCAGGAAACTCATTGATACTCAACATTGCAACATGTGTGAACATTCTTCTGATACAATTCATTGTCACAAAACTTTCTTGTGCATGTTACAAAGTCTTGTACTTTGCTAAAAAGCTATTTATCAAGTCCAGTGATCTTCTGAACATCTGTAGATGGATGAGTGTTATCAGTGCAATGATCAGACAGCTGATGCAGTAAAGCGCTAACACACTCCTCTCATCAGGCAAAAAACACTTTGACAACCTGAAGTTGGACCTGGAGAATATTCCCTACAGGAAGTGACAGAATATACAAAACATTTAGTTAAATATCAGTTAAAGTTCCTAATATGTTGGGGCTATAATTCCTGAAACTATTAAAGTATTTTTCTCTTGCAGCTTTTATTTAACAAATTATATTACATCACCTTTTAGGTTGTGTGAAATCTGATGACCTTGCATTCATCAGTAAAACACTGTGACGGCAGTTCAAACGTGCTATTATATACAGTTATTCACATTGTATCAACATGTACCGTTTTTTTATTGCAGGTACTGTTTTTTATTTATTTTATATGCAGGAAAATTACACAGTATAATACAAAAAATTACGTGGTTGTGGTTGCGCGTCGACGCACCCCGTGAGCTAATAAATAAAGGCTACAAAGAATTTTTTAACCATGCAGCAGCAGTACATTCAGTCACCTGAATGTAGTTAATCACCATCATACTGATATAGAGCCATATTGCCCGATTTGAAAGATTTTTTCTTTTCTATCTGGTCTAGCAGGTGTTTAAATTTGCACTGCCAATGTGTGTTGATATGGTCATGCTCTGACAGATGAAATGAAATGACTGATTAATTAATTAATTCTTTTTTATTGGCTGCTACCATACTGGGGTTACATCAACATAACCATTATGTGGTCAGTGCAATGTGATCATCTCTAGAAAATTAGACCTACAGCTTTGAAGTGACATGATGAACAAAATTAAAACGCATGCTTTAATTACCAGGATGAAGCTGGGGTTGTTGCGGTTCCTCCAACTGAAGGATGGGACACTGATCTCAGGGTAGAGTTTCTCATGCAGTACTTCACAGCCATTGTGAGTGTGGCCACTCAGAATGAGGCGGGGCTTGAACCACCACAAGAGCTGTTATTGAAGATGAAGATGATTTGCTGCTTTTATTATTCATATTTATATACAGTAGGTGGACAACCAGAATGTCTATTACCGCCGCGGCAAAAATAAACCAGTCGCATTTCAAAGTCATTCGCGAAATGACCACCAGGAGCGCAAAAAGACATTTAGCGAAAGCAAAACGTAATTATGTAAAAGTAGCCTACATTTTAAATAGAAAAAAAACAAACTTCAAAAGTTAAAATAGGCTATTTTCTTAAAATAGAAAATAAATTGGGTGCAATCAATGACGCTAAACTATTAAGGAATGAGAAGATTGAAGTGCGCTTCTCTCGCATGCGCGCGCACACTGACTGCTGAACAATCAACCTTCTGGGCATTTCTCAGTGAGAAAAGTTGTGGTCGAGAGGTATAACTTAGGTTTCAATCATTTTGATGACACTGTTTCAAATCCCGAATAAACATGCTTATTTATAAAATTACCATGCATTTTCATTTTACACTAAGCAACAAAACTCATCCAACAGATTGACTGAATTTACATCTTCAAAAGCAGTTCTGTTAAAAAAAAAGAAAAAGAAAAAAGAAAAGAAAACTTAATGGGGTTCCATGCAGAAAGAATTTTTAAAAGCATAACCTCCTAAGCTAAGCAAAGTGCGATTTGCCGGTGGGGGATTCCCAAATAAAATCATTTTTTAAAACTGTAAAAGGTCTAGAAAGTAGTTATCTGTTGAGGAATTAATGAACTCTTCTTGACATTTAGCCTTAACCCTAAGCACCTTTTTTCATGTAAAAATGAACCTACACTCACAATAGGCTAACGACAAAATGTTTTCTCGCTCAATTGAGTGAACATAGTGGTAGAACTTACGGTTCGAACTTTAAGATGACTACTGTCATCAGACTACAGTAGTTAAATTTTATATTATGGAAAGAGATTTGTCTTGTTCTAAAACTTGTTACACCATTTAGTTTTTTGCTTAAATTTATAAAATAAAATTACCATGCATTTCCGTTTTACACTAAGGAACAAATAGTATCCAACAGAACGACTTTATATCTGTATAATAATACCAATCGTAATTTCAAAAGCAGTTCTGTAAAAAGAATAAATAAATAAATAAAATAAATAATAATAATACTAATTATAATAATAATAAGCTACTGTTAGAATGCTGCTATATATATATATATATATATATATATATATATATATATATATATATATATAGCTTTTGATTTCCTATAGCCTATACAGTTTTTAAAGGTGCTGTATGTGATTTTTAGCAACCTCTAGCGGTGATGTTTCAGAATGCAACAAGAGCGCTCTGCTCGTGCTCAATCTCAAGAGTGAGCAATCATTCACTACCAGCCACACGGAGACTTTCAACGCAACGGCGAAATTATCACACATGCTGAAAACTAATGTAAACTCCCACTGCAGGTACAATAATAGCCTACTTTTATCAGCTTGACGTTGAACTAATGCTCTGTGCTCGTACCACCCTAGTGAAAAAAAGTATACTTTATGGTATTTGAAATTTATTCCATTTTTCAATAGTACATTGCAAATATACTAACAAAAAATGTACTATATTTAAATACATTAAAAGTATATTAGCATCATGCTTTTTACCTATTTTCACAATACAACTTTAAACACACTTTAAAATAATTGTACTTAAGTATATTTTCTAAAAGTATATTGAAAACAAGCATGCTTTTAACATATTTCTAAAAAGTGCAGTATAAGTACATTGCAAATATATGCTTTGTTAGACTTTTAAGAAATATGCTCAACACAAGTATACTTTTAACATATTTCTAACAAATGCACTAGAAGTACATTGGTAATAAATACATGCTTAATTATATTTTTAAGAAATATGCTAAACACAAACATAATTTTAGTGAAGTTTTAGAGCATTCAAAGAAAACATACTTATGTTGCTCTTACTTAAAAATACATTTTTGGAGTACTTTGTGTAAGAACATAGCAAAATTATTAAACTTTTAGTGGGTTTAAAATATATGAACTTTATAAACATGTATGCTTACTGCAATATATTTAAAAAAATGTATGCATTTATCATTTTAATATATATATATATATATATATATATATATATATATATATATACATACACAATGTACCAACTTGTAATGTATTAGAAACATTTGTCAACTATATTAAGCATTGCAATAAGCATACCTAAAATTTTTGATGTTCAATTTTACTTGTAAAGGGCTTCTTAAAAGGATGTTGTCCACTGCATGCTACGTTTAAATTCCCACAAGGATTTCAACATCATATTATTTAAATTTGATCAGATACATTTTCCAGAGATGATAAAAAAGTTTGTACTTGTTTAAATTCAAACACTAGCATACTACTTACACGTGAGTCCTGATTGGTTCCAGAGCCGTTGAATGGTTGTGATTGGTTCTTATGATAATGAGCTCGCCTCGCACCGCCTGAAAGGACTTTGACCTCACTCTCAGAGCCTCCATTTGTCAGACAATATTCTGATGTGCGTAAATGTTACTTGACTGTGATTAGATTTAGAGGTCTATATTTGAACATGTCTTTAGAGGATTAGGAAGAAACCACGCGTTTCATATGGATTAGATGATATTTTTTTGTGATTAACTTTTTAAAACGTAGCGTTTTGAGAGGACATAGTGTTGATTTTACCCAGCTTCTTCAAGTTTGCATGGCGTCGTGTGACATTTGGAACCTCATTATGTTGTGATTCTAGGTAAGATTTGTATTACATTAACGTTACTTGTCTTTGGCAGTAGTATTTTTGACACACAGTCTAACAGCACGTCTTTTTCAGTTCAGCTACATTCAATTTGACCAATCAGCCAAGCTTTTCAAGTGATGTCGAAGCAGACTCAAAGAGATGAAGATGCTGCCTAATAGAAGTTACTGGTAAGTTTTAGTTTTTTGCAAATAAACAGATCACCATTTAGATTTTTTATCTTAATAAATCTTTTTAAAATCTATGTGGATACATTTGTTTGTCTTATACAAATAAATATAAAACATTGTCCAATGCATCTGCAAAAAAAACTAATTAGTCATTATAACATGTACAACATTGCATTAACATTATTTTTATTTGCAAAATGAAGCTGTGTATTTATTTCTGATTTCTTGAAAAAATTGGTGTCATTATGTCAATGATCTTTCTTTGAAAAGTTTTGGGGAAAAAATACATGTTATGAGCAAAGTTACTTTGTCTTGAGCTGACCAATAATGGTAGTGTGTGTTGATTGGTGTTTATAGTAGTTCAAGCTTGACAACCTTATCATATACAGTATAACTCTCTTTTTTCATATTAATATTTGTTGTTTTTCAGACAGCTGCTATAAGAAAAATTGAAATTGGAAAGAAAACGCAATTCTAATGCGGATGTCTGGCCACTTAAGTTAAATTCAACCAGAGGTTTGCGACTTCTTCTGTCCGTTATCTTGTAATACTGGAATGCTGTGACACTGAATTAAAACAATGTTCTGTCCTAATTTTTTTCATAATGAGTTACTAGAAAGTGTACTTTCTTTTTCAAGTGAGTAAAGTTTTATTGTGAAAATTGTTATCAGCATAATGTTAGTATAAAACGTGTAATATATTCACAAAGTACAATTCTGTGTAAGTATTGGCAATGTACTATTGAAAATGTGAATATACTGTATTTATTGACCAATAAAGTACTTTTTTCACCTGGAAAGTGTGTTGAGTAGTCCCTTATTTAATTCAGCCTTCAGTATACTGGTAGCCTGCATGCTAACCAAAAAGTAGCCTAGCAGAGTAATAACAGATATTGATAAGTAGCTAAAAAGTGTACTTTCTTACTAATTTGAATGAACCCAAAGTAGAACTGAGCATACTATCATCACAATACTAATATTTTAAAAGTATAATGCTTGTATATTTGTAAGACATTCAAAGTGCATTTTAAATGTACTTCTAACACAGATATGCTACACTTAATGCTTATTAATCAAGCATGTATATTAGTACATACAGCCATATACTTCAAGTATACAAAGTATACATGAAGTGGTTCCACTTTAGCACGTAAAAGTACACCAAGTACACTTCAAATTGTGCTTTTCTACAATTAAATTACAACTAAAATATATTAAGTACAAAATTAGTTGTTCCAAAATAGCATGCTTCAAGTTAAATAATCATTAACAAACTTGAAGTATACTGATGATTAGTCTGGCTTTAAGTATGCTCAAGTATGCTAAGATTGAATATACTTAACATATTTATTTTTCACCTGGGCATGAACATAATGTTACAATAAACTGCATTTAGCCGACATGTGATGTTATATAGCATAAGCCATTTCTCTAACTATTCGTGTATCTTTCACAATCAGCAATGTCAACATAGGTGAATGTATAATATAACGAAAACGGTTAGTGAACTAAACTGAACAGTTTCAGTGTATCAGTAAGATCCTAGGAAGTAACAATACTGTACTGAACTTGTCTGGAAATGTGTATAAACAATATGGTAGTGGGATGACGACTTTAGTCAGTAGATCTAGTAAATAAAATAAGTTACATACTAAATGTTATACTAATGTTATCCTGGAACATTATTTTGTATTCATGTCATGTTTCATGTAGTTTACCTTGCTATTTCACTTGAGTTTACTATGTTGATCCATGTTTTCGTCCGGAGTCGATCAGATTCACGTTTTGCCTGACGAGCTTGAGCAGATTAAACTTTTTTTGTTTTTTATATTTATGTGGAGTTTGTGTTGGAGTCTGTGTTGTGCTGGAGGCAGGACGTTTTGGGGGGTTATCAGACTCCATGTCGTCAGCTGAAGTGCCGTTAGTGTAAAACTTAGAGCACGAAAGTTGTTTGGCCTGATGTGATCTATAAGTGTACCGAGTTTCATATTATTACATGTAAGTGTGTTTGATTTATGGACCAAATTTTCAGATCAAGTTTATGGACCAAGTTAATTTAATTAATAAACTAATTATAT